CAAAGAGGTTGTCCAGTCACTGAGACAATCCAGTAAAGAAGTCTCAATAGATCTACCTTTACAAAAACCATGAAGGGAATTTGGAAATATTTTTGGAAATTTTGCTATGTTATTTCAATACGAGGGTGGTGGAGGTGGCAAGTGGCGCAGTTTACACACACATGGTCACGGGTTCGAATCCGCGATCGATATCTGGCTTAGCCAAGCAAGCCCTCCATCCCTCCGGGGCCGGATAGTTGGTTCTAGACTCCTATGGGGGGATAAAAGCACTGACTTGTACATCGGCTGGCCACCGCAAGCTATTGTATAAGCTATATACACATTCAATACGCAACTGCGATTCTGAATGGAAGTCGAATGCGTGGGCTCATCCTTCAGACGGGACTGATTAACGCCCAAAGACTTTATCCTTTGTCCTTTTATCTCATTACAAATTGATCAGTTTCGAAGGGTTGACCAAGATTTGACAATTTGAGTCCGACCAAGAATTTGCTCAGCACTATCGTGTTTGGAAGTATCACTTCACACTAGGAGTGACGTCTGGCTGCACGTCGTAGAAGTTTTAGGGAGTATTTACTCGTTGAGACATATGGCAAGGGTAGATCACTTTCCGGAGTGCGCCACAACTTCGACACCAGTTCAGAGAAGTACATGTTTGAAATGGTGCAAGTGTTATCTACAAAGTTGCCATAACCTCTATCCAACAACCGATTTGTGAAAGACAACCTCTATCCAACAACCGATTTGTGAAAGACTAGAGGACCAATAATTCGTGCAGGGACCCTATCTGCGGATCGCGAGACTTCAGATCCAGCCAATGCTAGAGACTGGGAGAGACATTACACTAGCTGAGATCAGTATCTGGTGTTCACTCCTAATAGCAAGATCGGATTAAGAAGATACCGTGCGAAGTAAAACTGGTTTAGAGTTGCAGGGAGGTTTTGCGACGCTGTAACGACGAGAAACACGAGGTTCTGAGTGCGAACGACCACGTTTCGGTCTTCTTGAAGATCTCTGTTTATGCCAAGATCGAAAAGAGCAACGAGAACCTGAAAAACGACTTTGCACGGACTTGATTACTCTGCGATCTCGTTGCGGCATCTGAGTGCCAGACAAGTGCACGGCTCACTCCGGGACAATGACCAAGTTACAGGAACAACCATTTTTGTGTCGCTTTACTGGTAAAATAATGGGGCAAGTAAATATTACGGTAAATACTTTACCACAACCACCCAATGGTTGAAAATAACGCTAGGAAAATGATCTCCTTATCGATCGCATCACATCCGCCTGATCTACCCATGGACCTCTAAAAGACCCCCTGTCACCCTGAATCGGATCCCTAAAGCATTTACTAGCCTTCTTCGCTACAAGGGCTCCAGTAGTAAGTTGTGTAGATTGGAGCACGTCAGAGTACGGTAATATCAGATGTACGAGTTTCACCACGTCATAGTTGCCGCGAAAATTTTGAACCTTTTGCTTTTCATTCGATTAATATCTCACATTTTGTTGGGATTAGGCTATAGGGTAGGTTTTACGTTATGTATATATGGGAAATGAGTTAATGATCCTATGAATGATTGCCTTCTTTGGGTGGGGATATGCCTTGTAGGGCGGCATCCAAGCTCCTTTAGAGCAGCACCTTTCTTTGGGTTCGAGGACTTTCTGAGTTTTCCTATGATCCCTTTCCTCTATCTTCTGGGTTCATCTCTATTTGTCCCATAAACACGCCAATTATTTGAATTCGGGTACGGCTTAAGCGATGAACTTGGGTTGCGAAATTCATTTAGTAATCATTGCTTTCCAACCATATGACTTTTCCATTTTCCAGATGTCGCATGGCCAAGATGAAGTCCTTACATGTTTGGCTACAAAGGAATTAAACGTCCAAAATCATCCTCCTCACGGTGAGTTTCAGATGAAGTCAGAAACCTCCAATCTCAGGCGTAATCTGCATCAGTCCCTCTCTGAATGAGTCTTGAAAGAATGGTTCATGCTGACTTTCTGACATCGAAATGAAACAAACGATGATCTCCCATTTTCAGAGCCTACCTCCTTTACTGGTATCCGAGAAGAAGACGGGGATTCTCGTGATTCAGGTATGTCCCAAGTTATTGATCGGTGTGGAGAGGTCATCATACCAAGATCAATCATTTCTAGGAATCGTTCCCGATTATCAAAGCCCATTAAAAATGCTTGACACACAACGGAAGGTATGTTGTTAGTCCCAAAGCGGTTTGATACTTGAAACCTCAGTCCCAAGCAGCATATAAGCTCTTTGAAATATTCCAGTCGTCTCGTCGGAGGTCCAGTTACTCATTCAGCCGGTACAAGGCACTGAGGGTGATATCGCAAGTAAAAACCTCTCACTTCATACTTTTGTGGTGCAATGGTTTCTTTGGGCTTTAATTCTGACCGAAGACCCTCCAAAAGTGGGTTACAAGCTGGTTACTAGAAAGGCAGTTTCGAAACAGTTGTGGTGCACGGAAGCCTTCGATGGGGAGAAGGCGTTAAAGAAACTCCTCGATACATATTCGATGGCCTAGGTGCTGTAACAAACATTCACAGGCCTTTTAAACTGAAATCAGGACTATTGCAGGCCACTGTGCGAAAAGGACTGACTGACAAAACTAACACTGATGTGCAGACGCAAGAACTCCCTGTGAGGTAATCTCATTCTCTACATTTGCAGATAATCACTAGGTTTTTGGAAGGCAGTATAGTTGTTCTGAATAAAGACCCTTTTTCCTTTCGATGAAATATGAGCCAGAGAGATGTTGAGTTATCAGAGGAGGTGAGGAGTAAATAGACGTGTCCGGGGAGGCATTCAACGAGGAATGCGAAAGCACGATAAGTCCTGAGGTTTCCATGTTCTTTCATTTCAAGAATTTGATAGTGAACGTTTTGTAGAGCCTAGCATGACCTTTGCTCCCAAGAGCTCACTAATCAACCATTTTACCATTTCACAAAATAAATTCAGTTTAAAAGGGAGCTATCTTTGTTTCGATTGGCTTTTCCTATTATACGGAGAACAGTGAATCAATTGAAATCAGTAGGAACAGCTAAGCTGCAAAGCACAAAGTTGGGGACCCATAGCGATGTATGTTGACCAGTGTTGAGTCAGTAGCTTGCAATTTTGACAAATTAGGCAGTTTTCAATAAACCATTCTTTACTCTTCAGGGCTACGAAGCCATCAATAGAGGAATCGCCTGTTTCTAGTCGTCGGCCACAGCGTTTACTTACACAAGCCGTAATATCATTCGATGATATTTCAACTGAGAACGTGCCATCAGTTTCAACTTTCGAAGAAACCGATTTCGCTAGTATGCATGCAACTTCGTCAACGTCAATATCTTCATTCTCGGTAAAAGTGTTTTGGATTGTTGCTCTTCAAGCTTGTTCCAGAAAAAAATGTTTTCAGTGCAGTGAAAGAGATATTGTATGGACGCCGGAGAAACCTCAAATACCTGGACGACGTTCAGTAAGTGAAGATCGGACGGCAAGGGTAATAAAAATAAGGAAACGGATCACTGATAGCGTTTTATCGGATAGCGGTGTACAGCGGAAGAGATCATGCGCCATACGAACCGAGCTATTCCAAGTTTGTGGTTGCTCATCTACTATACTTTGTAGTAGATGCAGTATTACTCTTACAGAGTGACACCAACATAACCCAAGATGAAGTGTTCGAGGCCGATGACTTCTCTCCAAATGCATCATATGCTAACGAAAACTCCATGACGTCTTCCCGGGCACCATCACGTAGTTTTACAAGGACACAAAGCGCAGGGCAGCTAGAAATGGGAGAATCTCAGCAGGGTTCGCCTAATTTTGGACCTGCGGTTGTGAGTTGTATCAATGGTCATGATTTGCGGCTTATCCATTTCTGTTCGGTGCCTGTTTTCGAAAATTTGGTTTTTAAGGAATACTCCCTACCTGGGGTGGAGCATCCTCAGCGAGAATCCTTAGCATTTCGAAGCATCTCGGCCGAAACTCTGGCTTCGGAGATTCGGCGGCTTGGTCCGGAGGAGTTCGAACGTCGTTATTTGCTCATCGATTGCAGGTACCCATATGAATATGAGGGTGGGCATGTGAAGGTGAGCATTTCTGAAAGTAAACTTCAGTGGGTAGCGGTTCCTTTCATGTAGCTTTTTCAAGTGTGCCATTAACCTCCATGATCAAAACGAGCTGGAGAACCTGTTCTTTCCCGATGATCCCAATCACCCAATCCGCTCACGAATTCCAATATTCTACTGCGAATTCAGTCAGAAGCGCGGCCCTGGAATGTGAGTTAGAGTTTGTTTTGAAAATAACTCTCTACTGGCTAGTTTCCGTTTTTCCTAGTTTCGGTATGTTTAGGGCACTTGCACTGCGCAGCATCGATCGGATGCGTAACGAACTNAACTATCCGAAGGTAGATTACGCTGAGATGTACTTGCTCGATCATGGTTATCGAAAATTCTGGAATGATGGCTGCTACAAGGTCATTAGTTTCTTACTTAGTCGTTTTTGGAAGCTTGGGTTTCATAAAAACTGAGGAGAAAGGCAAAAAGCTGTCATTTCATTATCGCCGTTCTAGTTACAACTAAAAAAATCAGCGGACGAGTTTTTCTCATAATAAAATGTATGCTATCACTAAGAAAGGACCAGCTATCTGAAATAAACCTCCAACATGCCAAGTTAGCTTATTTTGTCAGGAGCATTGATGCTCTGAGATAGAAGTCCTTGAAAAGGTTGCTTTCTCCCTTAGAAAAATTGCTTTGACTAGAATGTCAAAAACATCCAAGGTTACTTACTTCGGTAACTGAAGCAGTCATTGTTGTTTTCTAGTTTAGAGTTGTATTGTTTGGACGGCCCTTCTCAATAGAAGCCTCTGGGGGAAGTGCTGAATGGAACTGATACGTTTGGGGTTTGGTGACAAATTTAGTTTGAGAAGGAAGCGACCTGCGAATGTGAGATTACAGTAACATTCTGATAAGTATCTTCGAAGTTCTGTATCATCTGCACAATAGGGTGGAGGAGAAGGAATTTTAAAAAGCGAAAGCCTTCTCAAAGCACAAATCCCTTGTGTGCAGCTTCTTGGGACTGGTCGGATAGATTGCTGGCCTTCGAAGTGAAGGTGGGGCCCAATCCGCAAGCATAATGCCTGCGGTCGAAGGTATTCCAGTTGTTCGCGAAAACTTTTTGAACTTTGTCGTTAGAAAAGGACGAATCAAGTTTCGTGCCAATTCTCTCCTTTATTACCCAAGTGCTGCATCCGTTTACTTTTTTTGAGAATTCGATATTTGTGATATACATCGAGCGGAATATCACTCGTACAAGTATGGAGTGGACGAGTTGTTGCGCTTCAGTAGTTCAGCTTTTCTGATTAGTTCTGCAGCAGCTCTGAAGCATTGGCTTCTTAATGTCACAACTCGTGCTAGAGCATCTCTGAAAACATTTTCCTCTTTGAACTCCTCCATAACTACACGACTTCTGATAAAGCGGATTGACGTCAAGTTTTGAACTGGTGTTCGCAGAAGCACTGGTAAAGGTGTTCTCATTCCATGCCTTTCCAGTTTTTCTTTGTTCTCTGGCTTCATTGGCTCTCCAATCATTCCCATTAGACGCGCCATGAAACTCAAATGTGGGCTATGTTTGTCCATGTTTTGCTTTTTGATAGCGGTGTAGATTTAATGGTTACCGGTTTTCTGAACGAAATCGGTCAAAAAACTCGTAGCCATTAAGCCTATGTCACCTAATTCGATTAGTACCAATCGATACACTGTTTAGTACTTCAGCTAAAGTTCTTCTTCAACTTCACGGTTCACTATTCTGTTTTGAATTGACCCTTGTTTTCCAATCGATTGCTATTTTATTTGTTTTGTTTTCTAGTCGGAATGCGTTCCTTGTGGTTACGTCCCGATGACAGACTCAGCGCATGTGTCTTCTCTAATTAAGTATAAATGGCATAAATCAAAATCAACGAGCCAGCTCATTGTAAGAGAACCGCTAAGGAAGGTATCTTTGTACCGACATCGTTCGCTCATGCAGGTGAGACTATTTCGATTCAAAAACGTACTCATAACCCATCTATACCTGTACTAGAGTACCTGCGTATTGCTTTTGTTAACGTTTTTTTTATATTTTCTCTTGCATACGGGGAAGTCATGTTGGTTCAGTCATGCTCAATTTAGTAACAATTTCCGTTAATACTAATTTGAGCTAATTCGTCTTGGCATTACCATTGCCGAAGCAGTACAAGACAGTTTTGCGCCGATAACGGCGCGAGAGTTTCGATAGGATCGTGCACCATGGCCAACTCGTGCTCCCATCGCTATTCCGCGCTAATCTGCTTACTTTGAAACAATCCTCTCGTCTTTCTTACCTTAAACTTCGGAAGTGGTTTTAGCTGATCTCGAATCGGTTGGTTTCGTTATTAGCATGGCTTTTCTTTACGCTGTTGTGCTTTCTGGAAATTATTAATAGATTCCAATTTAGTAAAAAACAAAAAAAGTAAGTTTTCGGTTTGTTCCAATACTGCCCTTGCTTCCAACTAATGCTATAGCTTTTTTGTTAATCTACGAATGCAATGAGGAGAGAGTATGAAGTACTGAATCTCTGTGATTACTCTATCGATCCAGAATTTTTTCCTTAAGATTCAGAAGTTTTTCCCAAGCTAAGGAGACGGGAGTTGGGATAGTGGCAAGGGAAACTGTCACAGTACCGTAGCCCGGTTATTCTGACCTAGAATCCTTTCATGGGAACTCAAGAGTGGATGTGGTTACCTAGGACTGTAATCAAACGCATATAATCGTATATAAGGGACTGCCCGCAACTGTCCGTCAATCCTCTATCATCCATTGGTTCTGAAAACGCTACTTTATTGAAGACAATTGACAACGACGGTATAATATTTACTTATCAGTTGGGTTTGGAGTCTTGGGCAGTTCAATAACATTCTTGAAACCGGTTTTCAATAACTTGGTTCTCACGTATTCCCTTCATTCTTTTATATTATTGTGCTGTTTCTATGTTTGCCTTAATTGTTTCTTAGGTTTGCGCTGCTTTTCTTTGTTTTGCTGTTACTAACATATTTAGGTGTGTACCGAGGTTGAAACAACAGCAGAAGTAGTTATAAGTCCCACAGCGAAGACTCCGCTTTTGGCACCTCGTCGTCTGGAGTTTACCGATAGTCCGGAGTGGGGAAACACTGAGTGACGTCGATTTCGATATCGGTGATGTGGTTCTATTAACAGGGTATTATTAACCACTTTTCGTAGCCATTTCTAGTTGTAAGTTATGGGCTCGTTGTCGCATGGTAATGAGGACACACTGATTTTTTTGCATGCTCGTTAGACCCTTTTATGATATTTCATGCCTTTGAAATGCGTCATTTTGTGTTTACGCACATTTAACGCTTTCACACATCTGTAAATTTGGCTAGGCACTTATTGTTCCGTGCCGCTGTTCTTTGATTTTTTTATTTTCGTGCGGTAGAAGTTAGAAAATACGTTATAGTGCTGTGTAGTTGATTCACGTCATGCCTAATCTTTTCATTTTTTAATGCATACACTCATTCTCCTCTTCGGGTTCATTTACGTTTACGGCTTCATAACTATCGTACAAATACTCGTCCTTTATTTGAGAAGCATCAATCTGTAAATTACCTCTAATCATATTAATTGGCACGTCTTGTTGACTATGAATGTTGCTTTTCTTTGAAATTCCTCGAACTGACGTAAAGCTAATCCTGTAGATTATTTCAATTGCTTATAATCGGATTTGATCGTCAGTAATCACTCGGTAGTGGTGGACTTACCAATAAGATTTTGTTTCTCTCCTAAACTGGTGAACTCTTTATATTAATCTCACTCTTTTAGTTGTCTTTTACGTGGTCTCCCTGTGCCATACTTTCAACCATATTAATCCTTCTATTTCTTTTTCTTTAACAGACATTCTGGAATAAACTTTCATCTGCTATGATTAGTTGGCTTTTCAATTTCTTCGTCAAGCTCGAAATTTTACTTCTCAGTGTTCAAACTAACAGAAGCCTTTTTGAGTCGCTATTCTTCATCGTTGAAATCTCCCAGCCTAAAAACGTGTGTCAAGTTTGTATGGGCTCTTACTTATATTGCTATGATAACTATCACCCGTTATGGAGCCGTTAAGAAAAGAAACCATTATTTTCATTTTCATTGGTTATGAGAAAACCTGGATTGTGCAGTTTGCCAAGTTCTTCGTGGGCGATCTGCTTATTTTGATGAGTTGGCCGGCTGTTCTGGGAGCTCTTCACTCTTTGATGTTATTCCATTCGAGTGGATGGCAGGCAGTTTAGCGATCCTCCGATAGACGAAGTATGTCTATTGCTTGAAATGCGGGTGTCAATAGGTTGAGAAATGAATAAAATTCACTTTCTGACTGTAATTCAGTTTCTGCAGTTACTGCATTCCAGTAGGTTTTCAGTCGCGAAGGAATTATGATGAAGTTATCTTTACTTTTCATACTCGGAGGCGTTAACCAACCGGTCTCTCTATTAAACAATTTTATTCTGCAGTCCATCATGAATGTAATAGCGTTCCATCTAAGTGAAACTGTCTATGATGACATAAGTAAAAATATGGGTTAACATATAAAATCGCTTCGAGCTCGTTCGTGAAGAACACTGTTGATTTCTTTAGTCCCCCACTCTACTTAGACTTAGTTTATTCAGAATTTGTCATCTGGATAATCATTTGAGCTAGCCACTTTCAAATCTATGTTTTCTAGCTTTTTAGTTCTAGCGCTCCGTGCACTGGGTAATGAATGGTGCCGATGATGGCCCTAGGTGCTCGTTGATTTCATACGTGGTACCACGTAAGTTCTAGCAGAGATTTCTTCGGTTGCACTGAAACTCTAAAGCACTTTTGGGTACTACTCCACGATTACAACCCCAAAACCTCAAAATTTTAATTTTCGTTGAAACTTCGCCTATAGGGGTAATCCGATGCCCTGATAACGAATATGACCTTCATTTTTGGCGTTGGCGCCATTTGGCGCCAACTTGGCGTCAAGGGTGTTTTCACCAAATTTGCTGAAACTTGCGTTCAGGGGTTATTTGAGGTCCTGATAACGAATATAACATCCAT